TCAATTTCTCTTTATTTCAGAATTGTTTTAGATCACAAAAGTGAACTTACTGAATATCTTAATTGTTATTTCGCTTCCATAGTCTCATGAAAAAATTCTATTTTCTAGTGGTTATTTGAATTCTCTCAAGCGCTCTATACTTTTGTTATTGTTGAATCCGGATATGTAAGAAGGACAATAAAATATGAGCTTACTGCACAATTTAATATCAATAGAGTATAGTTGGAAAGGAAACATGTATATGCAAAGTCACAAATCTAAAATATTTTTAAAATGTGTACTTTAATAAGTATAAAGTATATAAAAATTAGGTTAGCTTGTGGAAAAGCTGACCAAGATACATAAATTAAGAAATACAATTGTCTATCTAAGTTTTCTGTTTCTTTTTTTTTTACAGAAAATTTTTTTAAGTTGTTTAATGTATAATTTCTCATTAGTCATTTTGGAAGTCCTTTATTGTAATGACAATTCTTTTGCTTGATAACAAACAGCAGCCACAGTGTCAGTGATTATTCAGGACCTCCACGTTGTATATATTCAACTTCTTGAGACACAAGTTTCCTTTTATATTTCTGAGGTAATATTTTTATTATTTCTGCAGTGTCTGGTGGACCCTGATGTATCAGCCAATCTGACGATTTACTTCCCTTAGAATGCTGAGAAATTAAAGAAGAGTGAGATGGTAGTCCTGCTGATCTCAAAACTTCTGATACATTAGGTTTAGGATTGTCTCTTCTATTAGGGAAGCTTATTAATGGAGTATGCGGCTTGACTACCTGCACTACCCTGCTAGCAGATACCATCTTGCTGCCCATCATGACCCCAAGAAAGGGCAGCTTTCACAAATCTAAAATATTAAGTAGACATTGACTTCTTTTGTGTGAAACATAATCAACTTTTATAAATTAGGAAAGTTAAAATCCTGACCCTCAACTTTAGGTAGTCAAATAGTGATTCTAATATTCTTCTGAATATTTTAATTTGATGCAGATGGTTTTATACTTTAAAGGCTCAATTCTGGGTTTTTAAAGCAAATATTAAGAATTTGTGATCTTACCTTTTACTCATTATAAATGATCTAGTTCCCTGGATTAGAAGGGATAGGGAAAGTAGAGAATTCCTTTTGTTGAACATATGTGGGTTTGTTAGGGTGATGTTTACTTATATAAAATTATATATTTTAAATAATTCAGTAGGTTTTAATTAGCTGATTAAGGGGAGATGAAGTCAGATGGATGACAAATCTCCTATTTGAATTTAAGATTATGAGGTACTTTGTGAGTCATATAGATTCAATCAATAAATACTAATTGAGTTTCACTCTGTGTCTTGTTGTCATGGTTTAGGACCTAAACCTAAACTTTAGGTGGTTGTTGTTTTTTAAAAACTAATTTACATATTTTTCAGAGAAAATTTGAGATCCATTGGATTTTCAAGGTTTCTAAACTATCATCAACCAAACTCCAAACACTTTGACATTGTCTCTAAACATCATATGACTGAGCTACACCAAATTTGAGTGCCAAAGAGGGCTTTTGACATGAAAAGCAATTGCTTGCTTCTGACTCAAAATAAGCAGCTTTAAGACCAATTTTGACTTAAAGAAAATTAAGTAAGAAAACTAATTTCATTTAAAATGTGATGCCTACCTGAAAGTAAAAGTTGTTGAATTAGCATATACTAAACTGCCCGAATTTATGAAGAGCAAGAACTTCTAGTGGATTTCAATCAGAAAAGAACTTATAGAAGCTAAATGCCTTATAACTGAGGTAGCTAGAAAATATTACACTTGCTAATACAATGAGAGAAGACAAGGTAATGTTAAGTAAAATTGAACAAGGCCTAGGTAATTAGCCAAATTTAGTGTATTTCCATCAAATATCGAGCATGGCAAAGAGTAACATTTTAGAAACTGAGGTAGTGAATTAGGTTGTTTAAAGTCAGAGTTGTAATCTCATTATTCATATGGAAGTTCAAGATTATGTCAAAATTATGTAACTGTCACCATTACCTGTTGCTGCATGGGCAGTAAATGAAATCCTTCTCTCTAGGTACTGCAAAAACTAGCCCCAGAAACAACTGTTTAATTGTTTCTAGATTTTAATCTCCATTTTTTTGAAAATGTGAAGGCTACAGAAATATTTCCCATATAATACCAAAAAGTGCTTGATAGATCTATGCTCTGTAACCTTCATCAGTGTTAATCTGGTCCCAGAGCAAAACTTGCACATCAATAGGAATATCTATTCCCTTCCCCTAAGGACTATGCCTCTGACAAATATCCCTCTGTATCTGAATCACTTACCAGGAGTACTTTATGGAGTAAATAAAATTAGAAAGAAGAAATGTTCATCCTTCAAATGTGATGAGTTGAATGATCCCAGGCAAGGGAAATCAATAGCTGTGTCTTAGAGCGCATGTTAGCTGCTTCAGGGTTGGCATCCTGTCACCTGATTTATTTATATACCCTTCCCCTACTCCCTTGCAGAACAGAACAGATTGTTTAAAAACTGCTTTAGTCCTCCCCACACCCCATGTAATTATATTACTAAAGAAATTACTGGCATTGAATTTTGTCCTCTGCCTTTGAATCAGCAGAAACACTTGTGCAACCACTAAAAGGCCAATGGACTTAGTTTGCTGCCACTCAAGTTTGGAGCTGTTCATGTTCAATATCAAATGGCAACATATAATTACACCTGGGAGCTGTATAAGTTGTGAATCTGAAATCTGGAAAAGCCCCCTGTGTTATTAGGGAGGTTGATATGGAGATGACTATGTGGGGTGGGGGGAGGTAGAAGGCAAAGATGGCAGTAATATTTCAAAATGATCAAGCCTCAGTTTTTATATGAAGACTTAAAATCTATGGACTTGAGAAACATGTTTGTGTATGTATATGTATATAAATATCACTGCTATAAAAGCAAGAAAACCAGAGAAAGAATAAACATGATTAGGTAACTATTGACCATGAATCAGTTAATATGGGGATCTTGCCATATTCATATGTGAATCCCTAATACCTAGTACATGACTAATGTACACAAAATGTATTTGTTGGAGAGGTAATTTAGGTGGTAAAGCTCCTTGTTCTCTTTTTCCCCAACAGTTCATTTATGAGAATTATTAGAACAGGAAGGACTCAAATATAGAGATGCATTGTATCCTTCCTAAGTGCTAAGAAATATTTATTAAATGAATGACTGAATGAATTAATGAATAAGCACTTGGTGTATAAGTTCTGGTATAGATTAAGTGTATCTGCCATTTTTTATTATATTTTAGTATAGTTGATATGCAATATTATATTAGTTATATAAGTTTCAGGTGTATGATATACTGATTTGACATTTTTATACCTTACAATGTGATCACCTTAGTAATTCTAGGAATCATCTATCATTCTTAAAATTTATCACAATATTAATGACTATATTCCCCTTCACCTTTTTTCATCCATGTCCCATCCCCTCTGCCAACCATCTCCTTGGTCTGTGTTTCTATGAGTCTGTGTTTGTTTTGGTTTGTTTGTTTGGTTGGTTGCTTGGTTGGTTGGTTTGGTGTTAGATTCCACAGATAAGTGAAACCATATTGTATATTTCTTTCTCTGTCTGACTTACTTCCCTTACATTAATACCCTCTAGAGTTAAAACCTCACTTAATACATTGAGATGATTACACAATAATTTGAAAAAAATCTGACTAACCAGATCACAGTTACTTTTCTCCCACACAAAAGGGAACAGATCACACTCCAAAGTGAAAAGGCCCCCCATAGTGTTATGTCCCTAAGTCATGCTAAGGACAGGCACCCACAGAACTTCCTGGATCCAAAGCCACTTGCAAGTCACCAGCAGTCAGGCTTCCACAAAATGTGAAAACTTGTAAATCATTCTGGGTAACAGATATATTTTTACTTCTGCTATATTATTTCTTCATGAAGCTTAAATTTCTCTAGAATTAGCAAAATAAAATGTTTACTGGCTTGCCATTTTTTAAAAAAAAGGAAAGGGGAAAAATTAAAGCAACCCAAAGAATCAATTAGAAAATTCTATTTATTTCTCTTAGCTTTTGCAGAAATAAGATCCTAACCCAACTCCAGCTTTTAATTCTTTTAAACATACACAGAAATTCGATGATATCTGTTCTCTATTATATATATAAATGTTTAACTTAGAGCAAGTCTCAAAACAGATGACTTGGGAAAGTTGATAGGAAATAGTCAGGGACTACAGTTACCTACTGGACATTATATCATATAAAGCTCACTCTAAAGAAAGGCTATAAAACATCAAAATGTATTTGGGTGCAAATGGGGAACACACAGAAGCTCTTAATTGCCAAAGTCCTCTGGACTTCAGCACAGCGAATACATTTTGAAGCATCTCAGCCATTGACATGGCATTGCTTGGTACTAATTTTGTGTTTGCTCTATTGTTGCACAAATTTTCTAAACACCCAATGAACAAAATTAGTATAAATATAATACCATGTGAACTGCTGTTGAAATCCCATGGAAAATGTTTCTGTTTTTTTTTTTTGGTTTTGTTTTGTTTGCCACTTAGGCTCAGAACAATTCATGAGGTTTAAATGATCATTACAGCTCCACTTTGGGTTGATAATTTTTTGATGTCATTCCACTATAGGCCTTCATGCCTCTACCCCACCCTGTCAATTTCATAGCTGCCACTGGCTGCTATGCATTTGCTGTTCCCATGGTCAATCTGGGTGTTGGATTGCTCAAAGTTAGGTTGAATACCATGGATTTTTCTTTATCAAGGAACTGACTTTAAATTTCCCTGGGACCTTGTTACTCCTTCCATGGGATTTGATGCTTTAGATTACACATTAATATTTATATATGTATGTTTATACATATATAGATATGGGAAATACACACATTAACACACTATAATATCTATACAACACATGTCTATTCACATATATGTATGTATTGTTTTTTGCAAATGAAAAAATAAAGCAAGCAAAACAAGACTGACCTAACCTACCTGTACTCGGTTCACATTCAACAAAGTCTTCATCATCGCTTGAACATTCAGCAGATGATACAAGGTCATCTGATGTTGGCTGTTCATGTAGAAAAAATAAGGGGTAGGGGGAAGAGAGAGGAGAGAGAGATAAGGAAACCAATGAACAAAAGCATAGACAACTTATCACAGTGTCCTGCCTCCATCATTATTACTGTTTCACTTCTCTAAGAGGGCACGCTGTAGGATGCAGAATTTTTCTCCCCTGTAGCTTATAATGGCTTTGGACCTGGACAATTTGTGTGGGTCTTAATGTGAAGCTGAGTGACCCAAAGTGGTTCTAGGAGATTCATCCCAAACCCACACCATCACATGGTGCAGCCTGACTTTCTTCTGACTTTAGTTTCAATTTTGAGAATCAGATGGGCAGGAAACGGGCTATTGCAAAGGGTGGGCAATACAAGAGTACAAGCCAGCCCAGAAATGCCCTACAGCTTTGAGAGGATTTTAAATGCATATCGTGTGTGGTGTTGAGTGTATGGTTTGGTGGTTGTGAATCGATAGGCTGGCATAATTAATGAACGTTGTGGAATGCAGTCTGTTCAGGAACAGGATAAAGGCTTCCCTAGCTAGCAGCAATGTCTTTGTGTAATTGCTGCAATTAGCTGAATTAGTAATGTGGACCAGCAGAGAGATACCAAACGACAGTCTCTCGACATAGGTAAGGCTGTTTCTGGAGAGAAGAAAATCTCTTGTCGCAATAATAGTAATTCAACTTGAGACCATTTGTTTTTCTATTGGATCCCAGAGAAACTCCCTGATTGCAGGGAATTTGCTGGGAGAAATATAGGGGCTGTGGGTATGGTCAGTTAAGAAGGACCCTGGCTACATAATAGATGAGAAGACTGCTTTGTGTGCCTGGTACATGCACAAGAAATACTGTTGAGTTAATTAACTAATCTATACATCTTATATAAAGAAACACATTTTTGTCCTACTATGTACATAAGGGCAATATACAAATAGAGTATATACTGGTTTGCTGGTCTTATTCCTAATGCACTTTAGTCTGAATCCATATTCATAAGCAAAGGCAATTATAAGCTAGATGCTGCACAAGACTTGTATGCATACTTATTAATTAGAGTTATTATTAATTCAACATAATTTTTACAACAATTCTTTGAGACAGGCATAATTATTATACTTTTAAAGAGAACTGAAGTTCAAAGAGATTAAGTAAGTTGCTGAGGGACACACAGCTAGTAAGAAATATAGTGAGGATTTGAATAGATAAATCTTATTCTTGCTCCCCTCAATTGTGTCCCCTCAAATTCCTATGTGGACATTCTAGTTCCCACACTTCAGAATGTAACTGATATTTGGAGGTTAGGTCTTTAAAGGGGTAATAAAGTTAAAATGAGGTCATTGGGTAAGCCTAATCCAATATGACAAGTGCCCTTATCAAAAGATGAGACTAGGACACAGACACACCAAGAGGGATAACAATGTAAAGGCACAAGGAGAAGACAGCCATCTACAAGCCAAGGACAAAGTCTCTCCCCCCCCCCCCCCCCCCCCACCCAAAAAAGTAACTCAGCTGACACTGTGACTTTGGACTTCTAGCTTCTAGAACTATAACAAAATAAATTTCTGTTGTTTAAGCCACCCAGTCTGAGGTACTTTTTTTGTTATGGCAGTTCTAGCAACCAAATACACATGATAACCCATATGCTTCGTATTCCCAGCCAACACCCTTTTTGAAATAGACATACTAGGCATAAAATTATTGGGCACAGGAATGAACAGTAGAAAAACCACATTTGGTCATTGATTTCACTTAACTGAGGGTGGCAGAGAGGTGCCTTAACCCATGTTATTGATCTTTATTCTACATCTGACAGGCAGATACTTCTACCCCTGCTCTTCCATAAAGTTAATAGAAGGATAATTTTCAAACATACTTTTTTTTTTCAATTAAATGCTATTGAAGTGTGCATTTCATTTCCAGCAACTGATGCTGTCAGTTGTGTCTTGGAGCCCCATATTTCCTTTAGAGAAATGGCCAGTTTACTCCCCTGGAGGTTCCCGCTGGCATGGGGCCTCATGCAGGTCCACAATGGGGTATTTAGGCAAGGGAGATGGCAAGGGGATAAATGCTAACTGTACACACGCAGAAGGCAATAGACGCTATTTTTGGAAGGGCCACAATCACTATTAGATCTTTCTAAAGGATGCATTATCTCCGGGGGTGATACCTCCTCCAAGGCAGCAACGATTGTTTTGGGTGAAGGGAGCAGATCTTAGATGTAACAAGGGTTTATGACCTACCAACAGCCCATAGTACTTAAATAAATATACAGTATATCTGTGGCATTAAAATTTTATAAGATAAGGGAAATTAGGAAAAAAAATGTCTCAAAATAACTCTGTAGAGGGTGGTAATGAAAAAGTGGTTGAGAATACACTGCTATGGTATAATCGATTGGAAATTAATTGTTAGTGACTTAATTATAAGGACCTTAAAAAATAGCCCATATACTGCCTAACTAGCTTTGGTCCCTAGAAATGAGTGAAACCTGATGAGTTAATGACAATCTAGTGAGCTCATCTCAAGAACAGAAGGCCAGGCTATAAAAAGGTCATTGAGCAAGTATATGAAAACAATGCATGATTCCAACCGAAACCAACCAACCAAACAAATAAAACAACCCCACTATAAACATTAACATAATATTAGTAGAATATTCAACTTACTTCTAATAAATTGATCTTAATTTTTATTGGCCAAAGAAATAATGAAATTTTTTTTCAAGAAAAGTGCTAGACTCTGAGATTGAATGAATATTTACCATTTTCTTCTCCCTCCTCCACCTCCTAATACTACCCAAGTTTTCTCCCCTGTGGTTTGGATAACATTGTACATAGCTACACTCTCCTTCCCCATTACCATCTTAACTTCTGTACCCAAAATTGGCCCCTACCGCCCATGTAGACCCCATGCATATGCTCTTCCATGTTCTTGCTCCCTTTCTCCCCAGTTCACTGTCTCTGGGTCACACTTCCCAGAGATTTGTTTTCTGCTGGTCTTCTCTATGAATATGGATAAATGCAACATTTCTCCCAGGCAAGAGAGGCACATTTACCAGCAGTTCTGATAAATAGTGGCTAGACTTGAAGGTTTAATGAGAGGGAGACTATTAGATGGTGGTAAGAGCAAGCCTGACTTTCTACTACACTTTCAGTTGGTAACCTGGGAAATCAAGTTATTTCTCTCTCCAACACTCAATTTTTTTTTTAAATCAGTAAATTGGGATAAACAGAGAGTCTCATTATTGGTTGGGTATTAATTTAAATGTAATGTTTAAAAGTGAAGTTCTAGCCTGGTTGGTGTGTGAGTGGGTGAGCATTGATCCATGAACCAGGAGGTAGAGGTTGGATTCCTGGTTAGGGCCCATGCCAAGGTTGTGGGCTTGATCCCAAGTAGGGGGCATGCAGGAGGCAGCCGATCAATGATTCTCATCATTGATGTTTTTATCTCTCTCTCCCTCTCCCTTCCTCTCTCTGAAATATATAAAAACATACATTTTTTTAAAGTGAAGCTTCATTCTTGGCATATGGTGCATGCTCAAGCAATACTAGCTAAAACTAACTCAATCAATCAATAGATCAATCAATAAATAAAAACAATGCATCTGCCATGAAGAGTGATAAAAAGTATATACTCATGAAGATGGTAGGAGAGCTAGATAAATAAGTGAAATTTGATTTCTTTCCAATGGCTCTATATCAAGACATTAGGTGTAGGTCTTAGGTGAATTCAGCCCCTCTTATCTGTCCCTCAAACTTCATCATCATTATTTACAGCCCCAGCCAATGAGACTCTCAAAGCAATTACACACATCTCACTCCCTCCTTGACCAACATCACTATAACCAATGTTGGTTTATCTGGAGAAGCTGGCTTCTAATACCAACATGCAGGCCCAGCACACTGCAGTTTCAGAAAAACTCATTCTGTCAGGAGCAGCAAACTTTGGTTTGCAAAGAACTCAGGATTAAGAATATTATATTTAAGGATTTATTATTTATTTATTTTCCAATTTTGTTCCTGTCACATAAAAAACTCAACAAGTACAAACCAAGGTTTTGGGATATGCACTTAGGATCATATCCAAAAGTAATGACAAGTTGATTCAAAATTACCCTGGGAATACCCTGGCCTTCCTTTAGTGCCTTTTAGTATTCTTATCTGTGCCCTTCCTCAAACATAAGTAAATGCAGGCTCTGACCCTGAACCTTGGAAGAAAAGGCATACTTCTTTGATTATTGATTCCCATGGCTGGTATAACATAGCAGATACACAAGGACTCGGGATACAGTTATTATGAGTAGAACAGAACTACAGACTTTTGTCTTTAAGAAGATCCCACTTCTAGGAATATATCGTAATAACCCCCAAATACCAATCATAAAGAGTGTATGCACCCCTATGTTCATAGCAGCATTATTTATAACTAGAGGCCCGGTGCATGAAATTCATGCCTGGTTGGGGTTCCTAGGCCTGGCCAGCAATCAGGGCCTATCAGGGCCATCTCACCCAGTCCTGATCGGGGCTGGGCTGGTTGGGGCTTGCTGGCTGCCAGCCAGGACCTGCCGGATAGGGTGGGAGGGACGGGGAGAGGGGCTGCGGGAGGTTTGCCAGCCAGTGTGGGGAGGAGAACTGAGGGAGATTGGCTGTGGGAGCACACTGAGCATCTGCCCCCTGGTGGTCAGTTCGTGTCATAGTGACTGGTCATTCTGGTTGTTCAGTCATAACGGTCGCTTAGGATTTTATATATATAGATAGCTAAGATTTAGAAACAGCCCAAGTGCCCATCAGTAGATGAATGGATAAAAAACAAACAAAAAACATGGTGGGACATTTACACTATGGAATACTATGCAGCTATAAAAAGGAAGGATCTTTTACCCTTTGGGACAGCATGGATGGACCTGGAAAATATTATGCTAAGTGAAATAAGCCAAACTGAAAAAGACATATGATCTCACTTATTTGTGGAATCTAATGAACAAAATGAATTGACCAACAAAATACGAC